ATCATACTGTGTAAAATGGTGACAGCTAGCACCCATGTGTGCACATAAAAACTTAATTTTTTTGGAGTCTATCATATCGTTTTCTTGTCCCAATTCCCAAATAATGGCATTATGATTTAAAAAAAATGTGCAAACACTCGAGATTAACGATGCCAGTATGAAGGAAGCTGAATTGGCATTGAGGCATATAATAACTATTTTCCACCACATGCAGGGCATGATATATGCATTGTATTATCAGCTGTGGATTGCATGACCAAACAAGCCATTGGGAAAACAAGCTAGTTGACAGCAGATTTAGTTAAAACCTGTACTCACAAACAGAAGCATCAAAGCAATATGGTATATAATCTATGAAAAATGACAAGGAGTTACAAAAATACAATATCAACTTCTGTTCCTACCTAGTAAGATCTGAACTGAATCAGGACTAACATTCTTGAGTCTGTCAACTTAAATGGATAGCTAAGAAAAGAAAAGAAAAAAGTTCCCCTATATAATCAGTAAAAACTACATGAGCTTCAGAGGAGCATGGAGAAGGTTTTGCATACATGAATATCGCAATCCCAAGCTCACAGTTGCCATTTCTGGAGGTGTCCAGGACATGAGACTAATACGAAACAGACTACACTGATTTTAAATAACAATATTGAATTAAAGATCAAATCAGGAACTATTTCATGTTTTGGAAATGTTGTGCTTATCTTGATAGCAAATGTGAGTTTAAACCTTGTGTTGGGGATGCCAAAGTTACAAGCCAAAACTCCAAAGGATTTAACATTGCAGCCTCACAAACTATCGAAGAGATATTGAGCTGCATTATTACAAACGATTCATCCCCAATTTCAGGCCATGGCATGTCAAATGAAAATTCAGAATAATGGGAGAGATACGCAACTAACAGAGGACTATATAAGATGGAATCACATACTGATTTTTTTTAACAGGATCACATACTGAATGTGGATATGCTATCATTTGGATAAATCCTAATTACTATCGAAATGAATTAATGACAACTTGTGGTTTTGTTTGCTAAACAGGCAATTTGATATTAGAAGCAATCTGCCAATGTAAAAAAAAGCTCACTCTTGGACTAACTAACCATGTGAGAGAACTCAATATAGTAACATTCACACAAACACGGAGCATGCATCAGCATCACCAAACAATCGATAACCACAAACAGTCGCCACCAATGTTGGTGATCAACAGAACAGGAGAGTCAAATAAAGGGAGGGTAGCGTGCTACCTGACTCGACAAAGTTCATTTGTGATGTTCATACGAAGAAATCTGTCATATTGTGGAGGAAAAGCTGTTGCAGACAAGATTTGGATTGCCGGTGCCATCCAACGGCTGTGTGGCCACCGCCAGCTCTCGGGATGATGGGGAGCAGTAGCCGCTGTATGAAGTTGGGGAGAATCCAATGCTGCTTCTCTAGATAATGGGAGCAACAGCAGCCATCGCTAGAGGAAAAGGGAAGGAGACACCGCTCACAGGAAGCAGAGGAGCCTATGCTCGAGAACATCTTGGCTGCACAAAAGAAGCTCCTAATGACTTCTAAATTTAATTTTAGGTTTAAAATAATTATGTATATCAACTAAATATCGTCGTACAAAAATATATATGGTTGTAATGACTAATGAAACAAGAGAAGAAAGGCAATAATAATCAAGTACAGACAACCAGTAGCACCATATTGAAATATATTTATTATATAGCAAGATAAAAAAGGGCAATGGTCTACAACTGTGTATGGTTGTAACGAAACCAGAGAATAAAGGCTATAATAATTTATTGTAGGCAAATCTTAAACACAAAGGACTAAGATCCTTCCCAAACTCATGATTAGCAAGGAGAAAGCTGACGGCTATGACTGTATATCTAGCATAATTAAGTTTAAAAAAAATATCTAGCATAATTTCCCATGTACTCAAATGAGAAGGAGCGATGGTTATGCCCAATCGATTGGAAGCATGACACTTGTTTTCTGATTTAGTATGTTGCATATCAGGATAAACTATTGTGGAAGAAATGACCTTATAGATGAGCAGTCAAGCAGCGCTGCTCACTAAAAAATCCTCGGACAGAAAGGGTGTCCCATCTGCATGCAAATTAGTGGCAATAGACTAATGACTCACAAAACAAATATGGAAATTAAAATAGAAAAAAAACAGAATTGGGAGCTGAAATAATCACCAAGTTGCTACACATTCATCCATTTTTTTAAAAAAAATGGACTCTCGATCCGTTGATATTACTGACACCATCTTGATTGGAACATTCGCCATGTCAGATAGCAATTTTAGCATTACAAGACGTACTAGTGGTAGATAGCAAGAAAAATTCTTCATAACTTCGAATGGGCTGTCACGAGTCGTCAACTTAAGAGGCCCAACATGTGTGAACTCATCGGCTCAAAAGGAAATAGAAAAAGGCATACCATAATGTGGGGCGACCTCACCTTGCAGGCTTGCACATGCCACAGAGCTGCTGCACGAGGTAACCATGATAGCAATCACTGGCTCGCATCTGCTTCCCATGGTCCACCTCGCGAGTCCGCTCTTTCATCTGCTGACACCTGCATCAACACCAGTCTAAAATGTGACATTGAGACTTTTGATTTCTAAGAATATATGTAACCTCAAATAAAAATACATATGTTGTAATGTAACTAATTGTTTTAAAAATGGGAGTGGAGAGAGTCCCAGCCCTTCAAGAAGGCTTAAATGTTGCTACCTACTGGAATTGAACTCACAGCCTCCAAGAGCAGCACTCTAGCCTGCCTCCTGTGACCAGCCGGCCACACAACCCTCACTCAATGTAAATGTGATTTCAATGAAGAATCCAGAAGTACTAATTCTATGTTCTCAATCCACACAGTCATTGACATATTGATGATTAATTAAATTGACTATTTGACCAACAGAGATCCTACAACTTGCAGTTGGAATCTGAGGGAAAAAAGATCAATGTTCGATATCCAGTTCGTTATTTCTAGCCAAAGGAGAACTTCAAACATATTCACATGGACGCAGATGGCAAAACGTTGATCCTTTATACATGTGCAATCAAAAGTGCCATTGACAATTGTTAAATGCAGGACAACTATATGGTTCAGCTACCAAGCATTAGCATGTCATTTTTAACCAGGAATGGTACATATAAAAAATACAGTAGTTACCAAATTAGAATAATAATCTGTCACTTCTGGCCTTCCTGAATCCATATCCCTTTAATGTACATCTGGCTTGTACCTGTAAGAAGATAAGAAATAATAGATTAATAACTCCGAGAATCCTTCCCAACTACCTACAAATCAAACTGTCAAAAATCTCTTCCTAAAACTAACCAACCATGCTCCTTTGCCTGATGAAATATTCCCACACACTGTCTTAGAGCTGATTAACTATGATCGAATTAACAATTTTCAAACCTGAGAAGAAATGAATAGAAGCCTCTCAAACACAAGGCAAACTACCAATAACCAAAGACAAAAGAGTACACCATAAAGACCCTGTGGGACACATATTCAACATGAGAAACAAGCATAGATTTAACATCATTATTCATTATTAGTGAGTTCATTGAATTGAAAGACACACAAAAAAAACTGGGCATTCTATGGCAACATATAACAACTACTCGATCAAAAAAACATATAACGACTACAGCATAATAATACCAGCTAAAAAAATATATTCCAAAGTCCAAAGTGGCAAGACACATACAGCATACTGTAAACATTTTGGGAATCAACGCAATTGGAAATCGATTTCGGCAAGGCAACCTTTAGCACCATGTGATTATGAAAACCGCTATGTCACTCTCATGGCGCAACTGCGCACAAGCAGACAACTACGACAGGACACTCATGGTTGTCTCTCGTGCTTTCCATCGAGCATATGATGAGCAATTTAGTCGAACACATGCACGCACACAGGCGAGATACGACATAACGGATGAGCAACCAAAGGACATGCGAAGTTGAGATTTGCTCACCTGGTGCGGATCTCGGCAGGGTCCTGATTTGTGAGGAGCTCCGGCATGCCGTCTAAGGCCCAGTTGCCATCCCCGTCCTCGTACACGAGCAGGTGCACCGACCTCAAGCCAAAACAAGAGCACACGCGAATCAGGGCGCCTCCACCTTGGATCTGCGTGGAGTGAGATAGATAGAGAGTTTAGGGCGGGAGAGATGGGGCCAGGGCTCACCTGCTCGCACCGCCCCCGATAGAGCCGGCCGCCTCGTTCGCTTGCGCCGCCTGCTCACGCCGCCCCCGATAGGGCCGACCGTAGACCACAGACCACGGCACCCGTGCGCTCGTCTAGGAGCGGCAGGCGCGAGACCGTGAAGCAGCACCAGCGCTACGGCGAGGGCGCGGACAGGCGGCGCGCTCCGTCTGCGACGTCTGGATAATGGCGCACATCGCTGGGGAGCGGCGCGGCGGGGCGGGATGCTGGGGCACGGCGGAGCGCTAGGCAACGGCGGTGGTAGGGAGAGGGAACGGACGGGCGGTGCCGGCGGAGGGAGAGGAGGAGACCGAGCGAACGCGGTCTGGAAACCGCAAAGAAATCGTGCGTGAGTGGGGGAGCTTAGGAGCTGTCGCTCGACCTCCTCGGTGGGTGGTCCGGGCCTGTGAACCTGAAGCCCGAACGGAGTGTGGGCCTGTTTGCCTGGCTCATAGGACGCTGGGTCTTAAATAACTATTTGGTACCCAGGTACCATATATATAGTGTGTGTGTATATATATATATATATATATCAGTTGGACGAGGGTTCACCACACACATGTGGACGTGGGTTCATCACACCTCTGCCCTGTTCGTTTGGCTGATAAGCCATGGCTGAAAGTATTGTTGGCTGATTTGTTATGAGAAAAAAATATTGTTCGTTGACTGAAAAAATACGGCTTATAAACCAAACGAACAGGGCGCTCATCATCCAAGTATTTCATCAGTTGTAAAAGAAGCTACATCAGACTCCAACATTTTTGGTGTCATGCCAGGGGGGCTGTCGGAGGACGTCTTGATGAAGATATTTGCAACTCTTGAGGTTCCTGACCTTGTCCGTGCAGGCTCTGTCTGCTCCTCTCGGCTCCATGCCTACAGTTGCCTTCGGAAACTTGGGGCTAGTATTCAGCCACAAACACCAAGCCTCGTATACACCAATAAGTCTTCAGGTGCAAGCGCTGCAGGTTTCTACAGCCTCGTGGAGAACAAGTCATACACATTTACTCTCCCAGACCCTCCTATCCGTAGCAGGTACCTGATTGGCTCTGCCTACGGTTGGGTTGTCACCGCCGACGAGAGGTCTGAGCTTCACCTTGTCAACCCCATCACACGTGACCAGATTGCCCTCCCCTTCCGTCACCACCATTGAGCAGGTGAAGCCCATCTATGACAGCAACGGTGCTATTCACATGTACAAGTACTCAAGGTACACCGGGACCCACGGTGAACTCGACCCATCATCAGTCTTGCGCCTTGACAAGCTGCGGGACTATATATTTCACAAGGCATTTTTGTCCTCTGAACCGTCCACAGGAAACTACATTGTAGTGCTCATCCATCACCCATACTGGCAGATTTCATTTGCGAGAGGCGAGGATGAACACTGGACTTGGTTGCCATATCATTCTTGCTATACAGATTGTGCTTTCAAGGATGAGCTATTGTATGCATTGTTAGTTGATGGAGGAATCCATGCATACAATCTATATGACCCTGCAGTAAAACCACGAGCTGTCATGGAGGGGCTTAAGGGCTGCCTCCCTCCTAAAGTGTACATTGTTCAAGCTCCAGTTCGGTGTCCCTCTCGGTATTTTTGTGTGGGTGGTCATAAAGCACATTTGGTGGCCCTCTCGGTGCTGATTCAGAAGTTATTTGATCGCTGTACGTGAGCATCATTTGAACGCATACAGTGATCGTTCAGACTTGCACTTGTTGCATGCTGTGGCTATGATTTTGCTGAAGAAAAAAAAGAGGAAAAAACTGTGACGAACAGACCTGCTCGGTGTCGTAGGTGGTCGGGCGTCGTCTGCAGCGACGTGTGGCTTAAGCTGAGCCGGCCATGGGCGAGGGAGCTTGGGGAACTCTGGGGAGAGAATCACGGGCAGCTCAGTGGCGGAGGCAGCCAAGAGGAAGAACGGCTGAGGTGACGAGGTGAGGTTACCTTGCCGCGGAGGGTGGCTGCGAGGGGGGAGCTGCAGTCTCTGCCGATCTTTTTTCGGCAGCCGAGAGATGAGGGGAGTTTTTTTTTTTTTAGCTTAAGAGATGGGCAATGTATCAAGTGCAAACCAACCTCTCCGTGCAAACCGTGTAAACCAATTGCGGGGGAGAGGTTGGAGGGGGATTTGCAAAAGTGTAATTAGGAGTGGGCGTAATTACACTTTTACAAATCTCCCCTCCCACCTCTTTTCTGTAGTTGATTTGCACGGTTTGCACGAAGAAATTGGTTTGCACTAGATATGTTCCCTAAGAGATGAGGGGAGTTGGTTGTCCGATGCTGATTCATTCGTTTCCTGATGGCTGGATGTTGTGGTTCGCCGTCGTCGCCGAGGCCTTGTTGGGGTGAGACTTTTGAGCATGCAGATCTACGGTCCAGAGCCCATGGCCTACTATTACTTTCTTTTTTTGACGGAGGTTAATCTTCTCTTGCTTTTATAGAAAACAACTAGGGCCCAATATTACTGCCAGCCCAGTCCACTCTTAACGATCGAACCTGACCAAAAGAAAGACAGGGTTTTTTGGGCTGTTTTTCAACGATTCAACTGGCCCTTTCTGGGCTCCAAAGGCCAGCTGAACTCCCCAACAATTGGCTTGACTGTAGACTGTGCTATGTGCAGATTTTGATGGTTGAATGATGATGATGATTACGTCGGAACGTGTTAAACCAGTATGGGCATAGACTGATTTATTAAAGAGAAGTAGGTCCCCATCCATGCAAACTACAATCAGTATGGGCATACGACGCAATCACAACTGATGCATAGCAGGAAGCCAGGAAACAGCATTTTGTGACAGCACCAACCAACATGACATGACAGCAACATGAGGAAATTATTCCGAGACATCATTATCTCGTGCATTCGAGGGCTAGACCATATATAATTGATGCGCCAGCCGCCTAGTATATATAAATACCTTCTCTAATATTTAAGGTGACTAAATTTTAATATGATTTCAGACAACACTCTTGTACCACCAACTAGTACAAGTAAATTGTTATTTTTATGATTTATTATTTGTCTTTGTGTCATAACATATCTGTTTATGTCCTTGTCTCACTATAGTTTTTTTTAAATAAAAGAAAGGAGCTCTGCCACTTAATTAAGTAAAGGGTAAGAGTTTTATGTATAGGAGGCACCCCTGGTGCCAACACTATGGTCGTAAGACCGGAAAGTAAAGACATACCTGACCCTTAAGTGGATTTACCCATAAAAGGACACAGCCCTGCGACGTTGCATTATATCCTCTTTTTTCAAGGAGGCCACCTACTGGACCGTTTTATGGGCTTTGTCGAAGATCCTCCTATTCCTCTCCTTCCACAAGTTCTATACAATGTAAATGAGGATTCCATTGGACCGCCTTCGGTCTTGTTTGGCACCTTGCTTGCCGCCTTCTCCCACCAATTGGCAAAGCATATACGGCCTGTGGTAGCTGCACACTGAAAATTTCCCAGGACAGAACTTGGTTCTAAACTGCTCTAGCAAAAGGGCACGGCAAGGAGAGATGCACCCCTGTCTCCAGGGGTCCATTACACATGACACAGTGCTCCAGGTGCGGCCATCCTCTCGTCTGAAGATTATCTGCCGTTACGATTTTACCATGCATGAGGATCCTGGCGTGGACTTTGCATTTGCTTTCTGCATGTGCTTTCCAGATGAGGTCATGCAGAAATTTCGGACGTGAACATCGAAATTGTAAATATAAGCCGAGCGAGTGGAGTAATTTTCGCTAGCTGTCCACTTTCAAGTGATTGAGTCATGCATGCCCTCCTACAGCTGCACATCTAGTAATCTGATCCACAGATCGATGAACTCCCTGATTTGTGCAGTTGTTGTGATACGCATCCGCAACGATCTGATCCAACTCCCATTGTGTAATTCTTGGCTGACCGTCCTATTTTTCTGCGTGCCAGCTTGAACAAGTTAGGAGCCAGATATCTGGGAGCCTCCCCTTCTAGCCAGCGTGATGCCAGAACTGGGCTTTGTATCCATTGCCAATTGTGACCGTGGTGGAGGCATTGAACAGGAGGCGATCTATATCCTTACATGGTACTTTCGTTCCCACCCATGTTTTGGAGTCATCCGTCCATTCCTGCCACAGCCATAGGAGGCGCAACGCCCTCCCAAATCTCTCCAAGTCCGGCACCCCCATTCCCCCCAAGTGGGGCATGCAGACGGTCGGCCAATTTACTAGGCAGCGGCCTCCGTTAGCATTCTCATCTCCCTTCTAAAGAAATGATCTTTGGATTTTGTCCATCTTTTTTCTTGCCCAAACCGCTAGGGGGAACATGGTGAGGTGGTAGGTAGCATTGAGGATAGTACTGTGGTGACCAAAGTATGCCTGCCAGAGTGTCAGCTCTGTTCAGCATTTTGCCCTTCCATCCCGTGTCTCACTATAGTACCAATTGCAAATTTTTAATTGTCTTTGTCAACGCAAATCAAATTTTGTCAGATTTGTGGTTTTGTCTGATGTTTTTTTCTATTCTCGGAAACAAAAATTACAAATTGTGCCTACAAAATTACAACGAACTAAAGCTGCAATTTTAAAGAAAACTAAAACTCAGGGACATGAATTTTAGCAAGTACAATGAATCTATATGGAATTCCTTGGGTGAAAAAAATAATAAGAAAACTAAAAAAATGGCACATGTACTGCACGGACCTACAAAAAAAAATTCCTGCCTCGGAATACATGTCCGCGTAGGATTTATTTTTCCACAGCACAGCACCATATATGGAAGGAAGCAGAAAAGTCTTCGCTACCAACATGGATAGAACAGAACCTGGGTGAAAATGCGAGTCCATTTCAGGTTTTCAGGTCAGAAGTCTGTCCAAATCAGCGATGTGGGCGCAGATACCTCCCCCAACTGATCCTAGCCACAGAAACGCCACCCAAAGGGACGCAATGCAGCAATGGAATCGCTTACCATGCATACCACTACTCGCAATCCATCCACTTGATGAGATAAACAAAAAGATAAAGACTTGAACCGAGAAAGCGCACGAAAACTGCACTCCACTGAACAATTAGCCTGATCTGCATCTGCAAGTAGATATATAGATCTGACCGGAACCGGAGCGGAGTTTGCAAATTGCAAGTATCCCATGGCCATGGCTAGCAGCTGATGGGTACGTGCATCCAAAGATGTTTTCACCAATCGTGGACTGCATGCCACGGCGTGGGTGTGTGGTCCATGTGAGCCGAGCCACAGCCCAGAGCCAGCCAGTTTGATGGCGCTCTTGCTCTAGCCCAAGAGCAGAGGCATTAGGCATACATGGCTGCATCAACTGTGCAGATCACGACGCCAATGAAAAGGATTAACGACAGGTAGCCTGTCGGCCTTTGGAGGGGAGCGCTGCTGTGACAGATAGTTGCTTACATTATTTGGCTCCTGCTGCTGCTGCTGGCTGGTCCTCCTCATTTGGGATCTCTGCCTGCGTTTGATTCCATCTCAGAGCGGTAGCATCAGAGTCTGCGATTTGGCATCTGCACATGCTCGTTTCCATGTGTATCTGCAATTTCTGATTTTCTTTCAGAATATACAGGTTAGCTCTGAGATGCATGCCAATCTTTGCCATGCGGTAGCATCAGAGTCTGCGATTTGGCATCTGCACATGCTCATTTCCATGTGTACCTGCAATTTCTGTTTTCCTTTCATAATATACAGGTTAGCTCTGAGATGCATGCAAATCTTTGCCATGTGTAACAGGATTTCTAAACAGTGCCAAAGAAATTTAAACATGATTCGTTTCTAACTTTTATGAGCAGCTAGTCGGTTCTGTCTGATGTCTATGAACCATCTGATCGCTGTCAAGCTTATCCGCGTATATGAGCTCATGCTGCTGGTTTTTGCTTTCGCGTGGTACGTGGACGGTCATGGCGCTGCAAAGTTCCTTTCCAACTTTCGAAACAAGATATTTAGTTTTCGGATATCATATATTCTTTGAACTCAACAAACGGATAAATATAGGGATCAATACGTGGAAGAGCACCAGCACTGATGTCACACTGGTGAGGGGTGGCTAAGCCTACATGCTACTTTAACCAATGAGGTATACTAGTGTTTAGTTGTGACTCGACCTAAATAGAACTTTTGCTTTTCCAAATTGAAAAAAATGAACGTCAAGGGTTTAAAGATGCTATCTAAGTGCTTATCCTTTTCAGGGAACAGGGACTGTGATTTCAAAATCCCTTCTTTTGCGGGGAAGCTAGGAAACCCCCTAGATAGCAAGCACCATATATAGGCCTATCATTGGTCCCGGCATTTTAAATCTTTAGTTGTTGACAAAGGAATCCTGGAAAGCCAGGTGATGGGCGGCATAACCTTATCCTATGCTGTACTCCTACTGTCCTATTTGTGTACCACACACAACAGAAAATCGTGTTAAGCTCTACATAACATTCATGTGGCAAGGCTGCTGACAAGGCAGGGAAAGATTGATCAAGGGCATCCAGGAACTCAAAAAAAAAAAAGTCAAACCCGATTAACGTTTAGAATATCATGCACATCAGGAGTTTCATAGGTACTGGCTACTGCATCGAATCATGAACGGATCAACAGCCTGGTGTGTAGCAAGTCAACTGAGCAACTCCAGTGTGATTCAGATCAGGAAGAGGTATTAGTTTAGTACCTGTGTCGGTGGGATGAACGAATCAACAAGATCTTGGTTTTGAGATCCAGCCGTCCAAGAATACTGGGAAGGCAGGGACAGTGACGGAACATGCAGTGGGGGGCAGTAGAGCAACAACCTGTCCAGGTTAAAAAAAACACACAGACACACAAAGTAAAGGATTTGCAACGCACATGGAAGCTTAAACGGCAATTTACTTTTCTGAGGCTGTGGGCAGATCCCAGAGTTGGGATTGCAACGAGGATGGACAGCCTAGGATAACTCATGGCTGTGGGCCCCTGGTATCTTCAGATCTCCACTGCAAACTACAAGCATGTGAAGATATGTATGGCCTAGCTTATCTATCAGATGGAGAGAGAGAGGTTGCCCAAGTCCAAAAATCCTGATATCTTTAATCCCGGCAAAACCTGCGTGGCATATCTGCTTCACATGTTTTTAGGTTGGCTTGTTGTTTCATTAAACCAACCAGATTTGGCTCTCCAATTGGCTGCTGGCTGCACTTCCCTGATCTTTCCTCGAGTTTGATAAACAAATAGCGACGCAGCATACCTCCTGCTAACTAACGATCTCCAGCTTCTCATCCTTTTGCACTGCCGCCCTTATATCCTGCTTACCCTTCAGCTTCACACAGCCTGTCAGCCATTGCATTACTAGCTTTTCTTCACTTTTGGTTGGCATCTATTGTTTCTAGTACAAAAGGACGCTGTTTGCTTCATAAGCACAAGGAGAGAGAGAGCGTGGAAGCTACCCACAAAGTGAACTCTCCCGCAGTTAGGCTCTGAAATGAGTAATGGGTGCTGAGGATAGAGTTGAGCAAGTCACCTCCCATTCTGTGTCCCTGCTAACATATGGAGATTGCCAGTGGCTATGATCTGTGACCAAAGAAGAGGAAAAATGCGAGATAAGCAGCTGGACCATGAGAATCAGGGATACAGGTGAGTAAATCTTCAGTTTCTCTTTGTTTGATTCTTGGCTCAGTGTTATCTCAGTATCCATCATTCACTTGTAAGCATAGTGCAATTGACTCAAGCTACAGTTATAATTTTTATGGCATATCTATCAGGCTCTAACTGATGCGTACTACACATGGTACTGATCTTTCAAACTGGCTGTTTCAGGTATGGCTATTGATTTGCTTCATATTCACAGAATCCTCTCCACCCTGTTGGAGATAAAGGGAATAATCATCTCGAGATATATAAAAGGTAGAGATAATATCCAGAAAATAACCAAATTATTGCTGAAAGCTGGTGAGCAAAAGCTTTTATGCGCCTTGGAAGAGCCAATGGACAAGGACTCAATTCGGAGAACAATCATGGAGCACGATAAGGTCTTCAGACAGCAGGTATGTAGTATGTAGCCTTGTACTCTAGTTATCCTTAAGGATTCACCAAATATATAGAACATAAGAAAGCAAGGAGATCAGGCACCCTAATAGGTCTTGACTCCTGAGCCTTTTGATTTTCTGAGGTATATTTGCACACATAGACGAGAAGTTGACATACTGCTCCAGTTTTGTAATATATTGTAGTGCATACTACTGCTTATGCTGCATTAAACCTTCATCTTTCTAGTGATAAGTTGACAACCAGTTGTTAGTCAGACCTAAGTTGTCTTGTCATTCATGCAACAAGAACTTTTGCATCTGATACTGCTTCTTTGCATCAGGTGCATGAGCTGCATCGTTTGTATCATGTACAAAAATCATTGATGGCTGAATGCGATAACCATAGTTATCAACCGAGAACGGAAGAAACTCATGAAATGGTGCAGGGATCAAGGTCGAATCTCAAGAGTAGTCCTTCTACCTCAGGGACAAATCAATCTACTCGCCTTGGTAATGCACAACACTCAACTCCCCAGCAAGTACCTGAAGATTTGAGTCTTCATGAATGCAAGCCAGTAAACTGCCTCAGCCTCTTTAGTGAAGAAAACTCAACAGTCAAAGAAAGATTTCACAGGGAGAACCATAAATCACCTGAAGATGAAAGTTGGAATGCCGCTGTAGAGAGTGATCTTGACCTCAAACTAAGCATTGGCCCCAGTTCACATTCACCAAAAAGACCGCACTGGCTATTCTCGGGAAGCAGGAAAAGAAACCCTTCTGGTCAGCATCGATGAGAGCAAGCTAGTAAACATCTGATCATTTAGTTTGATGGCACGAGAAGCAAAAGACAGCACACCATAGTTTCATATGCTGAGAAAGCTGAAGCCTCCATTAAAAATGGCATGTGGATTTGTGGAAATACCGATCTGAAGAAAAATGCACTTATAACTCCCATGGCACCTCGGCCAAAAAACCAAGCCCCAGAAATGCTTCCATCAGATTTTGATCAGAATTCTTTAGTCACTAATGATCTGTATTCCCAAAATGTAGTCTCACAGGTACCAATACTTGCTATGGCTAGGACAGTAGGACTGCACTGATGTAACGCCAAGCAAAGGATTGGTGACAATTCAGTTCTTGCTTGTCTTGTGCATAATTTTGAGTTTCAGAACAAAAGCGATAAAAACATTAGGTAAGTATTGAATTTGAAAGAACCAAAAGAAAATTCCCTTTCAGTTCTCCTACAGCAATAATAATATTATAGTTACATTCAATAATATACTTAGTAGTTTTGAGTGACCCGCCATGATTGATGCTTTACTATTTGCATTTGTATTGTGTGAACTCCATGCTTTTAAGTATCATTTTTCAAAATCAACATGTCCATTTTTACAATCAAACACCCACTTCCTCATTACCCATGCATTGCCAACTAGATCTGCCCTGCGTAGCTCTTTATTGCAAACAAAGATTGCCATTATTTAACTGCTTTTTTTTTAATTCATAAGCGGCTTTCCAAGCTTTGCTCTGCTGTTCAGAGTTGACCTTCCTATATTCAAAAACATGTCAGATAAATAAGTTGGACAAGGTACTATTAATTGATGGAGGTTTATTCTCACATGTTTATTTTTTCTCAATAAAATAATACATATACTGCATTCACCAGAATCCACCGCATGAGCATTCTCCATCTCTGAAGTGATGAAATCTCATATTGTCCCTGACTATAATCTCGATGGGCTCAACTTTTGACACCAATCTTATAAACAAATGGCAGTCCTCACATATCCTTAGATTCTTTACTATCCTAATTGAGGATCTAGACTCAAGTGTGAGCAATCCAAATGACAGAGCAAGCTTCTCACTATGACCCATTAACAACCTTTCTTTCTCTTCCTCGCTTACATTATAAACAACTGAACTAAGGATTGGCACATAACCTGCAAGCTTCAGTTCTGCCCGTAGCTCCAATAATCTTTTCTTTATTTCAAGCATCCATGGGTGTGTATTATCACCAGCAAAGAACTGATGCACAAAACCATCACGGCCTTCAAACCAGCTCACCGCAGGATCCTTTTTCAGCCCCCGAATTCTCATCAGCTTCCTAACCTTTGAGACTTCATCCCATTCTCCTGCTGATGCAAGTGTATTTGATAACAACACGTAGTTCCCTATGCCCTCTGGCTCAAGCTTAAAAAGATGTTCAGCTGCAACCTTAGCGACTTCAGTATTTCCATGGATTCGGCAAGCACCTAACAGTGCCCCCCAAACACCACCATGAGGCTCCACAGTCATTGATTTCACAAGGTCAAGGGCTTCAATCACCAACCCAGCCCGACCAAGCAAATCAACCATACAAGCGTAGTGGTCTGCAGAAGGCAATATCCCATACATGTCCTTCATCTGCGCAAAGTAGTAGCGCCCTTCTTTTACCATCCCCGCATGGCTGCAAGCTGTCAATACTCCAATGAAGGTAACATGGTTGGGTTCCACATCTGCCCTCCTAACCATGTCCTTGAACAAAGCAATTGCATCATTGGCCCTCCCGTGTGATGCTAGGCCAACAATCATTGAGCTATAGGTATACACATTCTTCTCTTGCATCCCTTCAAAAACCCTGCGTGCCTCGTCGATGAGACCACACTTGGCATACATGTCCACCAACCCTGACCCGACAACCACGTTCCTCCCAAGACCATTCCGTTCTGCGATTTCCTGAACCCAGGCGGCTCGCCTCACCGCACCGAGCTGAGCACAGGCTGAGATAGCACCAGTGAGTGAAACTTCATCAATGGGCATGCCGGCCACCGCCATCTGCTCAAATGCCTCTAGCGCCTTCACTGGCATGGCATTCTGTGCATACCCCGTCACCATTGCCGTCCACGCCACCATATCCTTAACCGGGCAGAGCGCAAACACCTCCTCAGCCGAACCCATATCCCGGATCCTAGAATACGCCGCCACAATGCTCGTCCACGAAATGACATCCTTCACCATCATTTCATCAAACACCTTACGCGCGGCACCAACGTCGCCGCAGGCGACATAGGCACCGATCAGCGAGTTCCCAACAAACCGGTGCTTATCGAACCCTCCGAGCAGGAGCGACACCGCGTGCGCACCGGCCGCGGCGGGCAGCGAGCGCGCGGCCGCAGCGGACTTTGCCAGCGGGGAGAAGGCGAACGGGAGGAACGGGAGGTCGCGGCCGTGCGCGCGGCGGAGGCGGGAGAAGACGCGGAAGGTTTCGAGGGGCGGCTGCGTGAGGTGCACGAAGCGGAGCAGCGCGGCCGCGAGGAACGGGTCCGGCGGCGAGAGGGAGGAGAACACGGCGACCGCGTAGCGGAGCTGCGTGGGCGTGGGTGGGAGCGGGAGCGCGGCGAGGCGGCGGAGCAGGCGGGAGAGGAGGAACGGGGTGGACGGCGGCGGGAGGTAGGGGTGGAGGCGGACGAGGAGGCCGTGGAGGTGGCGGAGGTGCGGGAGGGACGGCGAGGACGCGACGGCAGCGAGCAGCAGCGAGGCCAGCGACGGCGGCGGGAGGAGCGGGAGCGGAAGGTCCGTCGGCGGGCGCGGTTGTGGCGCCGAGAGCCGCGCCGGCGAGTGGCCGTGGCGCCGGGCGAGGTGAACCATGCCGGCAGCGCGACGGCATCATGGGCGTGCCGCGCCACGGCGCGGGCGTGAGGCGAGGTGCGGCGCCATGGACATGGAGACGGACGAGCGTCGCGGCCTCGCGGGCGCGGCAGGTTGGTTGGTTTTGAAACGGGCGGTTTGTCCTCGCCGGAGCCGGCGGGCTTAGGGATGCAAACTCCTCTTCTGGGCTGTGTGCGGGGCCATCGGCCGTTTCGGGGGCAGGAGCGGTACAACGTGGGCCAGGCCCATCGTTTGCATCCGACGGAGTCGATCGCGCGCAGATTGGGCGTGGGCCTGCTGGGCTTCATCTCCAGGAGTTCACCTTCACGACGCTGCAAGCCTGCAACATCCAAGAGCAACGGTATGAACGATCCATCTCCTTTCTAAGGCTAGTGATTCCAAAACTCTTACAATCGTTCCAGCTTATCAAACGTTATGGGCGTGATTGGTTGCCCGAACCGGGCCGTCATATGGCCCATCCCGCACCCTTTGGTGCATTCGCCTGTGTTTGGTTGCCCTATTCGCACATTTCTCCTGCTTCCTCTCGTGCAGATTCCCTCCTCCATCCCAGACGGTGCCGTCTTCTTGATCCCCACTTCCCTCTCGGTGCAGGCTCGCTCGGTGCTTGGCGGGAACCCTTTGTGGAGAGTGCGGAAGATGAGGCCGTCCTGGCGATAAAGCGCGCACGCAGGTCGCGACTAGGGTTACCGCCCTCCCTCTTCGCCTCTCCTTCTGCCATAGCTCTGGTGCGAACTCCCCTCTAGCTCCCCCTCAACCTCGGTAGCCCTACCGAGGCGACCACTGCCGGCGGATTTCTCTCGGTCCTCCGGTGCTTCAACGGTATATGCCACCTGCGCTCTTCCCCTCCTCCTTCAGTGTCGATTTTGTCGATTTGTCTGTGGATTTTGTTTGCAATGCCAAGAAATTAGGGTTTTTGGTTTGATATCCTCATATCTGTGCGATGCTATACCTGATTTACCTGTTCCTAGCTCAGATCTGTACATGATGCTTCATATTTGGTGTAGATCTTGTACATGCTGATGCCTATTTTGTTGTACACACTGAGCAAAGTGCCTAGAGGTCAGTGATGTTGATTGTGTAATAGTATACGCTGGAGGAGCACCCTTTGGTGTGGCAGCCGCATCTTTCATAGTTCATTTTATCTAATTTTTTGCTTGCTAAGCAGTACACACCCATGTTGCATGCTCCCTTTCTAATGTTGCCCTACATCCTTTTGGTAGACATGGCCTTTGAAGCTAGGCGCAGGGCTACCGCTGTTGTGGTTGTTGCAGTGGCTGCTTTGGTTTTTCATGTGGTTTAGGAGGAGAGTTGAAGATTCGCGCTCAGTCGCCTATGGTCCATGGCCGAGAGGGACAAACAGAGGATGAACAACCTTAGATGTATCTATGGATCTGATGATGTGCACTGTGTCAACCTTCTTAGAATGAAGATGGCCCCTTTTTTCTAACTTTGTGACATTTTTCGTAGTAGAGAGCTGGTCACTGACAGCATACATGCATCTGTTGAAGAACAAGTAGACATGTTCTTACACGTTGTTGGTCACAATGAGAGGTTTAGGGTGGTTGACCTCACCTTCAGAGGTCCACAGAGACAATTAGTAGGTTCTTCTAGAAGGTGTTATATGCAGTAGGAGAGCTGAGGAATGAATCGATTGTCCCTCCTGCTACAAATGTCCATCCTATGATCCTTGGGAGCAGAAGGTGGTACCCCTATTTTAAGGTTGATATCCATAACTTGTCATACATAGGTCTCATTCACTATCAGTTTAGTGTCAATGTTCACTTGCACTTATGTTTTGTTGATTTAGGACTGCATAGGAGCAATTGATGGTACTCATGTCTTAGCTAGAGTGCCCGTGAAGATGCAAGCTGCCTTTAGAGGCAGGAAGCACACCATCACACAAAATGTGTTGGCAGCCATGGACTTTGACCTCAGATTCATTCACCTATGTGCTTGCTGGTTGGGAGGGATCTGCACATGATGCTCTTATCTTGTCTGATGCTCTTGAAAGAGCTGATGGCCTTAGAGTGCCATCAGATATCATCCAAACCACAAAAAACCATTGACACTTTGCTTAATCCTAATTCCTAAATGAAACTACTAAAACATATCTCTATCTGCTAATTTCTAGGCAAATTCTATCTTGTCGATGCTGGCTATGCAGTGAGGCCTGGTTTCTTGCTACCATTTCGTGCCACAAGGTACCATTTGAGGGAGTTTGGTTCAAACCAACCTCAAAATCAAAGAGAGCTTTTTAATCTAAGGCATTCGTCTCTTAGAGTAACAGTTGAGAGGGCTTTTGGGGCTCTAAAAAATAGATTCAGGATATTGGACAATAAGCCTTTCCACCCATACAAGACTCAAGTTAAGCTTGTTCTTACCTGTTGTATTCCTCACAATTGGATCCTCAGACATGGGCAGGACGAGCATGTGCTTGCTGAATCCACATGGACTCCTAACATCAATGACAATGCCTCACAGCCAGATCATGTCCCTGACAATGGTACCTGGGCACAACAGAGGGAGGCATGGGCTGCACAGATGTGGCAAAACAGGGGGGATTCTAGGGTGTAGTGGCATGGTGTGTGTATTGTTTAGTAGCATTAATGGAACTTGTATTTTAACTTAGACCTATGGCACTTTGCAATGATGTAGTACCTATTCTTTTTCTGCCTATTTGATCTGTTGAACTTGTATTTCATATCATGCAATTTGTTTTCCTTACGTACTGGTTTATTCAATGTTATGCTGGTTGTGGATAGGAAATGGATAATATACTTGACCAGGTTGTTAACATTGGTGGTGAGGATAACGTGGTGGAACAGGGTGGGGTAGTTGCTGCTGATGATGGCAATCCAGCAGCCCCTCAGCCCAATGGCCCTATGCACTGGACTCCTGTCCAGTCTAGGTTCATGCTAAGGAGGTTCCATGATTTGGTGGGGCAGGGGGTCAAAACTGACAAAGGGTTCAAGGAGGTACATGTTAGGCAGGTTGCACTCATGGTCTCTGAGTTTGCTGGGGTCAATGTGAGCACCCAGCAGATTTACAATCACTTGACAAAGTAGAGGCAAAGGTGGGTTAAGATTGTTAGGCTCAAAGATTTGAGTGGTGCTCTGTGGGATGAGGACCACCATATGATAGTACTTGATGATGAACACCTGCTTGCCCACACCAAGGTTAGAAACTGTTTGGATAACACCTCAGCTATCCCTTTTCTTTTGCTCCCCTATGTCTAATAGTTATATCTGTTTTACTACCTAGGACCATCCTACTGATGCTAAGTTCTTGAACACACCAATAGAGAACTATGTTCAGATGGAGGCCATTTTTGGTGGTAACCAGGCCACAGGCAGGTATGCAATGGGCTCAAATGAGCCTCTGGGTACTCCAACTGACATTGGCTAAGGTGATATTGATGCAGTTGAGGACATCACTGACTTAGGTGGCATAGATGCTGATTCTAGAAAGGAAACTCCTTTGGTATGGAAGGCTCTAAGGGTTCTGATGCCAAGGGTCAGGAGGAAAGGGGTGGCAAGAGAAGGAAGCTTGCCCCCGAGGAAATAGACCTCATGAATAGAATGATCAAGGCTGTGGAGTTTGTAGGAGATGCCCTTAAGACTCCACAACATAATGAGGTGCATCAGGACCTTTATGGCTATGTTATGGACTGCCCTGGGTACTCACAGGAGGCACTCATGTTTGCCCTGGTTTACCTACTGAAGTATAGGGCTGAGGGACTTTGCTTTGTTCAGATGACAGAGGCTCATAGGATCCTGTGGCTTAAGACCTACCTGAGCACTTTCTACTTTGCTTAGATGCATATGAGTTGGCCTCTCCACTTTTGCATATAGCCATGCTAACTGTCTTATGTTGTAGGAAGTATTTTGATGTGTAACACTGACCTCATCTGATGCTACAAAGAATTATTTGTCGCCTGACCAAGGCTGCACCTAATTTTGTATAGCATAGGAGCCATGGTGATGGATGTGAGGCTGTGTTGATCTGTGTGGTGTAGACATTAATAACGGGTGATGGATTGTCACTTAGTTGATCTGAGCCCTAAAATACTTTGGATTGTCATTTAGTTGATCTGAGCCCTAAAATACCTTGGATTGTCACTTAGTTGATCTAAGACATTTTAGATGCTGTTATTGTTCTTGTTATTCTTATTGTTGGAGTTCCTATTTGACCGATGATGCAAACTATAGCAATCTGAGGTGGCTGTGGGTATTCTTCATGTTGCTGCTTTATTGTCTTCTTGTGTTTTCTCATGTCTGTCATGAAACCGTGGGATATGTCCATTCCCAAGCAACTGTTGTAGACATGCCTACCGGATGGCTAGGATGGACGTGTCCCACGGTTCCATGGTAGCCATGAACTTGCCTCAGCAATTTGTGCTATTATTTGCCACCTGGGATGATTGCAGTTAGCTTACAAGATGATCATAAGTTAGTTTGCAATTAGCTGAGGCCTGCATTTTTTTTATGCCTATGATGTCCACCATTTTTTTGACTGAGGCTGATATAATTGAGAGATCATTTTCATGCCTATGAAGATAATAGTGCCAGTTTGAGTAATGGATTATGCACACTGATGAACTTAGACTTGTGAGGTACCAGAGCATTGTTTCTTCTATCTTCTACTTATGCTTCTCATGGCTGTCATCAAACCATGTGAGACATCCATGCCCAAGCAATAGCTGGACAGTTGTGATGATCTGATGGCTGGGCTGGATGTCTCTTATGGTTTTATGCCTATCATGATCTTGATTTTCTACTATCTGTTTGAGGTTTGTTGCTATCTATGTTTCTTAAGCTTCAAATTCAAGGTCAAATGGCAAGGCAATTAAATCCGAGGCAAATCGATTGAACTAACCCTTATCTTATCAACATCTTATACTTGCTTTTATGTGTTTTTTAAGGGGCACATGGCTTGGTATGTTGTGTACCGTGGCAAGGTTTCTGGGGTATATGCAACCT